GTTAGTAGTGTGGTTTCTCCACATTTCAAAATATAAAACTCCAACCTCGTCCTAACTACTTGATCTTTTACTAGCAGACCTAGAGGAATTCCAGTATTCCTGAGAGTCCTCCTTCCCTGGGGTGAAATACCTTTCATTGCTCTTTTTTTTTTTTTTCCTCAACACTGGGGTTTGAACTCAGGGCCTCACATTTGCTAGGCAGGCGCTCCACTTGAGCCACTCCAGCAGCCCTAATTGCTCCAAGTCTTAATTTCATCAAGATGAAGGTTCTTTCCACAGGAAGGAAAAGAATAGGGCACAGGAAGGGCTTATTATCAAAACCTGTGATAAAGCTATCATAAAAACAGGAGTGAATTCAACACACAATTTATCTGGGGCTCCTGGTGGCGTAGCTCAGTGGTGTCAAGCTTTTGCCTAGGATGTGTGAGGTACTGGCACTCTGGGGATGTAAAGAGAAATTAGTCTTCTGAAAAAAATACCATGCGCAGAATCGGGTCCAGAGAGTATAGCAGTCTCGCAGATGATAAGGCTAGCATTTCTCATAAAAGTTACCATAAAGGAGAATGTAAATACAGGAGAGTGTTTCTAAAACACAGTGAATGGTGAGGGCCTTCATAAGCATGACATCAAACCAGAAAGTATTAATGAAAGACTATACTTTCACCCCTTAAAAGTTTCAGATTTATATAGCAAGAGATATTATAAAACTGGGTTAAAGAACAAATGATATACAAGAAGAAAATATTTTTTCCACACATAACAGATGAGCAGTATTTTCCTTACTGGTGCACAGAATTTATTTTGACTGAACGTTGAATAGCCTGTGTTAAAATCAGTGAACAGCCTAAGGCAAAGTTGAATGTTCCCATCACAAAATGAACTTCTGAGGTACATGAATGAGTATGAAATTTTATTTTTAAGAATATAAGTAATATTACAATTTTATTATCAAACTTTCAATATAGTTTTAAATTTTGTCATTATGATACAGTAATATAATTTCTCAAATTATATAGCAATATAATTTCTCAGCTCAATTTCTCAGCCAGCTGCTAGGTGGCTCCTCTGCACATTTGCGATATTTAACTAGAGGCTTATTTTTAGCTGATGAAAACCATGTGTTTGGGGGCTGTGTAAGCCAGTTTGGGTTACTGGTAATGGAGGTGTGATATTGGGTCAAAAATCTTTTCTTTTTCTCATATTGTGACAGAAAGGTAAAGACTTCTCACTTCTAGACTTAGAGTTTGTCTGGTGGTGATGATGCAGTGTCACTGACACTACTCACAAACTGAAGCTTTTGTGCAGTGCTTAAAGAAAATGCTTCCTGATAGTTAAGAAGCAGGTGTAAGGGTTTTTGCTCTAACTGGGGGTGTGGCTCAAGTAAACACAAGGCCATGAGTTCAAACCCCAGTACCACCAAAGAGATTTTTATTCTGATATTTTTGCATTCTCTCACTACTTTACACAACTGTTGGATGTGCTACTTTCTCTGCCATTGGTGGTTAGCAAGTCCTTTTCTGTTGGTATTAGTGCCCACATAGATGCTAGTACAACCTGCTTTATTCCTGCGTCCTTTCAATACAAAGTAGTTGCTGTCCTTCTCCCTTTGAACACTTGTGTGAATATACACATGGACAGGGTCACGTGTTATCTTTCCCTTGTGTGTTGTGAAGTTTATCATTAGCCTTAAGAGGTTTGCGGTCTCAAGTTAGGTTTTAAATGCTTACCGATATTTAAAAGTTAGTATTCAGATATTAGCAATAAATTCAAGTGATGATGATATGCTTGCTAGATATTATGATAAACCAGTATGATCTTTGATCTCCACAAGGTCAGTAAAGTAAAAAATAGCATTGAAGCTGGCATTTGGCTATTCGGTCTTCTGAAGTCTAAAACAGATTTTTATCTACTGAGATCAAAGCTGACTTTCAGTACTTTCTTAATATATATACTATATCTAGTGCTCCTTCATACTAGTAAAGAAAAAAGTGCACAAAAGGACATGAGCAAACAACTTGCAAAAGAGCTACAAATGGTGAACAAACATCAGAAGATGTTAAACCTCAGGAGACATCAAGTTAAGTGCAGGTACATTTTTCTCTGTTACCTTGGCAAAAAAGAGTCTAAAGGTGATAGTTTAGTATTGGGGAGAATGTCCAGAAAGATGGCCCAAAAGGCCAGTTTGGCAATATTTTGACTCAAGTTCAAAATGTGCACCCTCTAGTCCTGCATTGTCACTTAATCATCCTCTAGAAGTACTCAAAAATGTTCTCAAAGATTTATAAAAGATTGTAACAGTAGCTCTAACAGCAAAAATAAATAAATAAATAAGTGGAACTGTTACAAGAATGGAAAAACTAATGCTAATTATGCAAAGGAATACTCTGTAGTTAATAAAAATAATTACTTTGATCTATATGTACTGTCTCCAAAACACAATTACAGTATATTGTTACAGAAGAAAATTCAAGTTGCAAAATATCTATCATGGGATTCCTGTTTGATTTAAATATAATAAATAATGGAAAAGTATGGGATGTGTCAAACCATTGATAATGATTACCTCAAATGGAAGGAAGGGATATTAGCTTGGAAGGAAGAAGGTAATAGTTTTTTAACTTCAGACATGCTTTATTGTTTGAATTTATTATAATGTACATCTGTTAGTTTTTTTTGTTGTCCAACCACAGCAAACCTCCAGTGATTTGATATGTGGCTAATCATAGAGGTAATGGAGCAGCTAGAGAAGCAGCACATTGTAGTCATGAAAATCCACGAAGTGCCAGTGTATCAACAACCAGTTCCGATAATTAAATAATAATGATTAGATCAGAAAGAATCACCACTGTCACTGTCTCTGACTCTCTAATATTCCATTTATCCCTATACCAACTTCTGAGATGAAATTTATTTATAATTTTAGTGTTGCAGAGGAGTAACTGTAGTTTTAGCTTGTATGTGTTTCTTTACTTATATTCTTCTGTCCATCCATCCTTGCAGTAAATAAAGGGTTAACAAGAAGGCTATAGAGATGGCATACTAAGTCCCAAGACAGGAACTTACTTAACAGTGGTTTCCCAGTACCCAGGACAAAGTAAGAACTCAGTAAATATTTGCTGAATGACTATATGGGCTCCAGTCCAACGGGAAATATGGACCAATAAACAGATAGCTAAAAGGCAATATTAACAGTGCATTGTTAAAAGTGTGAGGCACTTTAACTTACTAGGAAACACCTAGAAGACATTCCAGAGTGGGCTGCACTGGAGCTCCGTTCCCCTGTTGAAATACTACTCACACTTAATGCTTTTCCTCCTCCATCCTCACTCTGCTTCCTTCCAACATTAACAGCAGTTCCCAGTGCAGGAATATGGTTTTAGGTGGAGCATTAATGTCTGGTCATTCTCCTGACTCAGTTTGTTAGTTCAGAAATGCAGATGGGCCTTTACTGTGTTTCACAAATACAGGTTCTATTTAATGAATCACTTCTCTTGAGTGATGAAGACTTAAGCTAATGAGGGTACCCATGTTTCACCCTAGGCTTTGTACTCTAGATTCCCAGAAATTGAAGCAAGTTAATTTGTTTCAAAGGCAGAGAAATGTGACACAGGTTTCACTTTGGGTCTTTTTGACCCTACAGTCATTACTTAGTCTCAGCTGAGAGACCACATGTTTTTGAAGCGGCTTGACCAGTTCCCAGGTATTTTGTGTCCACATTCAGTATTGCTGGTTTAAATCATCTTGAGTCCTGGCTATGCTAATTGAAGTGGCAGAGTTTCTATTTCAGCATTTGGGAGAGTGAGGGATAATAATCACAAAGAGTAAGGCAGAGAAGCAGAAGTTCTGAACAAGCCCATATGCCAGGTAGTCTGTTAATTTTTTTGTGATATAAGCAAATGTAGGAAACTGGCTTTCTCTCTAGAGTAATTACATAACTTAGCACAATTCCAAGAAAACTTACTCAAAGTCTTGTTTGGTGGGCATCTGCAAGTTTTGCCATCTACATTAGAAGATCAGTTAAAACATGGGGTCCCTGTTAAGCCTTTAGTCCTGAGGTCTAACAGTATCTATAAAGTCTCCCAGTCTTCCTTAGTTATGTATTATCAGACCACATATTTCCATTCTCTCCCTTTTTCATATTTAACATTAGCTTTTGCTTTGTACTTTTCCCCCTGTGATTCCTTTTTATCTACCTTTTAAAATAAACCCAAGTTCTCAACATCAAATATAAGAGAAATAATGGAATTATAGAATTGGAGGGAACTGGGTGAATTCTGGGATCTCCAGGAACCTAAGTTTCCTTTTATTCATATCTTTGATTTTTTTCATTAAACACTGATGGTAGGAAACCATCCTCCCCAGCACCCTATAATTTAGGTCATTGCCTCTGGCTCCACGCTCTGCTCCATGTGGATAACTGACTTATCCTGCTTCTCCTTTCCCCTTGTCAGCTCCCTCAGTGAATGTGGTAAATCATGTGAGCACTTTCTAACACTTGTCAACATTTTTGTAATAATGAGCTATGTGGATTTTGATTGAAGGAAGTAGACCATCTCACTCACTTCGTTTGCTCCTTGACTGTGTTCTGCCAATGCTCTCAATGTTCCCTCACAGCAGGTATTAAGAGTCTGAGAGCCACCACTGCTGTGGTGCTAATCCAAAGGAAAGGGGTTGCCCAGGTCTTCTGAACCTCTTCCCATATCTCATCCAGGACCCTGGTGTCACCCTCCCTCAGTCCACCTGTACTTTCTCAGTGAAATATGTGCTTGAAGATGAGAACAGCAACATAAGTGTGTGGTGGGGCCATGGAGAGCGAATGAGATTTGTCAAGAAATATAACAAGTTATCTATAAACACAGATGACTCTTCAGGCAAGTTGTATGAAATGACATTCCAGGCTAGAACAGCAGCTTCTTGCCCCGAGCAAGGGCCAGCTTTCTGGCACCTTGTCTGAAGAGGTACGCTGTGTTTACTGACTCCTAACTCTGCTTCCCTTGCAGCCGACCCTCTGGTGGGCAGCATTGCCACACAGTACATGACCAACAGAGCGGAGCACGACCGGATGGCCAGACAGTGGACCAAGCGGTACGCCACATAGGGGCCTGCTGTCTGCGCCCCTGCCGGACCTGTGCAAGCACACTCACCAAGTGCATCAACCCTACCCACCCCTCCAGACCTCCGTTCTTATTTTCCTATTTTTATTAAATTTTGAACTGTTTTGTGACGGTATGTCATTATCCTTCCTTCTTCCCCTCTCCCCCTTTCTCCCTAGTTTTATTTCCTTTTTGATTTCTGTTAACTTGAAAGATTTGAGATATTTTTCCCCCACCTCATTGTGGATGGGAACTTTTGTTTTCAGTGCAAACAATGTTGAATCTGTAATAGTAAGAGCTTTCTTACAAAGCTTTGTATTACGTGTTGTTTTGGGTTTTGTTGTTGTTTTATTTTGATTTTTTTTCCTTTTATGTGATCTTCAGGAAAACATGTTCAAAATTATATCTCGTTTCTACTTAAATGTAGTGTTTAGGGTTAATTTTTTGTACTGAAGTCTTTATTGGTGGGTGCATGCTACTGGGAACAAGATTTTGTACAAAAGCTTCAATCAGAATCACTGTGCATTACTGAGACTCTGTTTATCACTAGCCTTCTGTCCCCCACACAGAAGACTGTTGCATTGAACAAAATAATATGTATTTTGATTTACTTAAAGTGCTTGTAAATTTCTTAGGGACCTGCCACTTTTGACTGTGGATCAGTTGATGTACACTTGTATTATTAAAGCGCTCAATAAATCACTGTGGCTGATAAATTCACTTCTGGTAACTGGGAGCTTGCTTTGTGTCCTAGTGGCAGTGAGGCTTGACTAGTACGACTACCCCTTCCAGCGTACTTCTCATCTCAAACCCCTAGAGTTTCTTTGAGGTAGAGTTGTTTAGCATGTGGGAAATCTCCAGTTGTCAAAGGCTTGATGATTTTATGGTTGCTTTAGGAGATGGCTTTCATTTTACATTTGACTGTACATCCTTACTCTTACAACCTTCTTTACTCAACAGTTATAATGAGGCCTCACAAATAGCTTCTAGTCAAAGTGCAGTCTGAGCTGATCATTGTGCTCAACCATGTCACCTTTATTTCTTCGTTTTGCTCTGAAAATTTTATGGTGATTGTCATCCAACCTTGTTTTGTTTTCCCTTTAATTTTGTGTCGGTCATGGTCACACATCCTATGACAGGGTACATCTGCCTGGCTTGATCTTCAGGCTGAGGACTGGCAGAGTGGCTCAAGTGGTAGAGTGCCTGCCTACCAAGGATGAGGCCCTGAGTTCAAGCTCCAGTACCACAAAAAAAAAAAAAGATCTTGAGCCTGGTTCAGTGTGCAGACAGGAGGCAGAGGAAATGGGTGGGTGGCTTTCACACTGGCTTGCTCATTGTTGCTCATGCTCTTTGGGTTATACGCACATTGGAAACCTCTGCTTCCACCAAGCAGTTATAGGCCATCCTACAATTTGGTTTAAGTTAAGTAACCACTGATATCTTTACTGCTAAGTAGGATTTACAAATATGTTACTCTTGAATAGTTCACATTTTAAATGTCTGATTTTTTAAAACTACATTAAAATGTAGTTTTTGTTATTTTTCAGTGGTCAAAAAGGAATCCTGAAGAAAATATATCTGAATATTGAAAACACTGCTTTTAAACCCAAGTGCTTGGAGATATTTTTTCTCTTTTTAATAATGATATTACCATCCCTTTTATTTGAAAGCCTGTTCAACACAGCAGAACTCTGGTCTTTGTTGAAACTAATCAAACTCTGCAGTTGTAGCAGGAGCCACAGACAGTTCATAAATGAGTGGGCATATGCTTGTTCCAATATAACTTTATCAGAAGAAGCAGTAGCCACATTTGTCTCATGGTTTGTAGACAGCAGGGTGGAGAGTCAGATAACTGTCATCTCTTTCTTGAATATAAAATGCATTTAATTAGTATAATACATGACAGATTTTCTTTGGCAGTGAGCAACTTTACTGTAGTTAAGAACCATTTCCTTTTAGCTTTTGATTTCTTTTACTTCACCCATGGTAGACATACAGATAACTAGATAGGTAGCTTGGTAGATAAATGGTAGGTAGGTAGGTAGATAGAGAGGTTGGTCAATCAATCAATCAATAGATTCTTTTTTGGGGAGGTGGTACCAGGGCTTGAAGTCAGGGCCTACACCTTGAGCCACTCCGCCAGCCCTATTTTTGTGAAGGTTTTTTGAGATAGGGTCTTGCAAACTGTTTGTTGGCTTCAAACCGCAATCCTCCTAATCTCTGCTTTCTGAGCAGCTAGTATTACAGACGTGAGCCACCGGTGCCCAACTGATAGATTCTTTTTGTGAGAGATTCAGGCTGTATCTGTTGGTAATGAAACAATATTAAAAGTCCCCTACTGATGAAATTTATTGAAATTAATTTTTTTTAATTTTTCTATTGTGCTGGATGGAGGTACATTGTGTTTACAAAAGTTCTTACAATATATCAAATATATTATACTTGAATTCACCCCCTGCCATCATTTTCCTTTATCCCCTATCTGTCTTTATCCCCCCACTCCTGGAATAGTTTCACCAGGTATCATTTTTCCATTTACATGCATGTATACACAGGATTTGCACCAAATTCACCCTCCTACACCCTTCACCGACCTCCCACAGGTGACAATTGGTTTTATGCCAATCTGTGATGTGAAGGAGCTATAAAACTTCCTCCCTGTCTTTATGAACTCCAAATACTTGGTGACTAACAAACTTACTCTGCTTTTGAAATGTAAAAGTGAGGGAAACTCCAGAGAGACCAAGCAAGCTCTTGGTAGAGCCTATGAGGTCTGCATGCCAGATCACATGGTAACTTCACTTGAACTCTGTAACCACAGCAGGCCACACAATGCCAAGAAACCTTCAAAAATGCTTGTAAAATAAGATTTAGAAGTAGTTTGCACTCAGAAAGCTAAGTAGTTTTGCTAAAAGATTATGGGAATAACATTCCTAAAATTCAAAAATTATTCTGTACCCTAATACCAAATTTTCCACTTCAGTTATTACCACTAACAGTGTTTTGTAACTTTCTAGTTAAATAAAATGTTGACAGATCCTTGATTGAAGCAAGACTATTGGTCATTGAGAAAATAGTGTGAGGTGATACCTGTCAACCTTACTTAAACCATTCAAAAGGTTGTAGCCTTAATTTATCAACAGACTGCAAATAAACAAGATATTCATGTATTCTTCTATAGGAATCCATTAACGATAGCAGTGGTGGAGATAGCAGGCCCTTGCTTATTCCAAGTTTAGGAAATGCTATGGTTTGTATTGTTTGAATATAAAATGTCCCCCACAAAGTGTTGAACACTTGGTTCTCACCTGGTAGCCCTATCTTGGGAAGTTCTGAAACCTTCAGGGGGGACGAGCTGTACGAAGTAGATCACACAGGATGTGTCTCAGAACTGGATCTTGTTCCAGGCCCCTGCCTGTCTCTCTGCCTCCTCCTCACATACTCCCTCCGCCATGACATTCTGCCTCACCATGGGCCCAGAACCAACAGAGCCAAAGACTATGGACTGAGGTCTCGAAAGCCAGGAACAAATAAATCCTTCCTCTTTGAAATTATCAGGTATTTTGTCACAGCGACAAGAAAAGTAACATATACAGCTGGAATGTATCTTGCAAAGTTCTTGTGTCAAAAACTGAATCCTGAATGAAACAGTGTTAAGAGGTGGGATTTTTATCTGACCTCATGAAAGGATTACTTTTGTCACCACATGATGTGTTCCTGATTTGAAAAACAAAAAGTTCAGCCCCTCCTTCATCCTTCTCACCCCCCAATGCCCTCCTCTCTTCTGCCTTCACCACATGCAGGCCCCTTACCATTAAACTTCCAGGTTCCAAAACTGTTAAGAATTAAATGTCCGTTCTTTTTGAGTTATCCAGTCTCAGGTATATTCTGTCAGCACAAAACAGACTTAACACAGGAAAAAACAAGTTCCTCATGGAATACTGGTTTAGGAATTAGGAAGAAAGGAAGTATTTATTTCTAAGAAACTGGGTAGCTGGCAATGAAAAGTGGCCTAACAGCTTTAGCCTTTATTTGGGGTGAAGGTGGCCTTAAACCACATGAAGTTATCAAAGGGCCAATGTGAGATTCCCACTCAAGCATGAAACACCAGCACTCTTACCATCAACTACAAGACCACATATACCTTTCTTCCACCTACAGGGCCATCCTGTAACAATAAATTGTCACAACTGAGTCTTAGAGTCAGGTAGTGTATCGTACAATTTCTAGTGGTGGAGTTTTGCCATCTTCAATAACTGAGGGGGGAATGTTTGAAGAAAGGGTGGACCTGGTATTCAATGAAGACCAAACAATGTCAATCACTTTCTAAGCTTACAGGCCCCACACAAACATTTGACCTGCCTGGGGGAAGCATTTCATCTCAATACTGCAACAAAAGGGATATTAGCTGGGCACAGTGGTGCACACCTGTAGTCCCAGCTACTCAGGAGGCTGACACAGGAGGAGTTATTGAGCCCAGAAGCTTGACAACATAGCAAAACCCTGCCTCAAAAACAAAGCAGATGGTTAATTACTTTTAGATGTGACAACTTGTAAATGTCATGTCTTTACAAAGATTGATGTTCATAATACTGAAAACAGTTGAAATTCCACAAAAAAGATCTACCAGAGGATTCCAACCTTGTCACTGTCAAAATACTCTGGGCAGAGCTCTGGTTGGTGGACACTCAAGCCAACGAGCACACCGTATATGTAAGCTAGTCGTAGGGTTGTCCTCAGACCAGGGAGGGGCTAAGAGCAGCATGGCCTCTCTATAGTTCAGATCTTGAATGCCCCCCAGAAGTCCATGTGTGGAAGACTTGGTTCCCAGGGTGGTGCTGTTGGGGAGGTGGGGAGCCTTTAGGAGGAGGGACGTTGTAGGAGAACCTGGGGTCTCTGGGGTGCACCCTTGAAAGGTATAGTGGGACCCTGACCCCTTCCTCATCTTCTTTTGCTTCCTGGCCATGAAGTGAGCGGTTTGATCTGCCCCCAACCCCTCCACCGTGATGTCCTGCCTCATGAGAGTCCCAAAGCAATGGGGTCACTTGGGCCAGAACCTCTAAAACTGTGAGCCAAGGTAAACCTCCTCTCTTTATAAGTGAATTATCTCAGGTATTTCATTGTAGCAATGAAAAGCTGACATGGTCCTAGGACCACGCATTTCCCCCACATTCTTCCCCGGCAAGACACTTTTCACTCTCGCCTCCTCCCGTGAACACTGGTAATACGGGCTAGGGTTATCTTAAAACAAAAGCGCCATGTCTCAGGCCCCCCGCAGCCTTGTAGAAACCCCAACTGTTGGTCAGCAAGTTTTCATACTAGGAGCGAACTTCAGCACGACACCGCAGACAGTCCACAGGACTGGTTGGGCCCACAGAAAAGTCTTCCTTAATATTTAACTTGATGTACAATCATCTCTTCAGAAGAGAGGTGCACTCCTCCCACCCTATGACCTTCACACCCAGCCCTTTTCACTCATCCCCTGGTTCTTTCTTGGTTTTTTGAGACAGAGTCTATGTAGCCCAAGATAGCCTAAAACTCTCTACCTTCTGCCTCTGCTTCCCGAGAGCTGGGATTATAGGCATGAACCACCACACCTGGCTTACTCTCTGGTTCTAAAAGCCAGTGAGGGATTTAAGCTACCTGCAACCTCCTTTATGTCACCAAACATGACTTTTGCTGTGTACACATTTCTGTAAATGAGTGGTGTAAGACATAATGGGCCTTTGAGATTTTTTTTTTAAAGAAACATTCCAGAGTTTTAAAATTCCCTCACAGGA